CCGGAGTTGGGTTTTCGCCTGCATTTTTTTCAAAATGCTGCTCTCGCTGAGGCGCCGGCCTCATTTTCGGGCCCCGCTCGTTCCGAATCGTGCTCCCGCTGCAGCGCTGGCCTCATTTCCGTGCTTCCGCTCGTTCCGAATCGTGCTCCCGCTGCAGCGCTGGCCTCATTTCCGCGCTTCCGCTCGTTCCGAATCGTGCTCCCGCTGCAGCGCTGGCGTCATTTCCCGTGCCATGCCACGGCATGCAATGCAATGCTAGGTTGCGTTCCGCTGCGCGATGCCATGCCTTCAGCTGAAGCTGTGATATGCAGTGCTTAAGTGCCACGTCGTACTATGCCATGCTACGCTTTGATCTTCAACGCCATGCTATGCAATGTTATGTTCGGGGCCGCTGTGCGATGCCATGCTTTGCATTGCAAAGCTTTGTGATGCAATTCTTCACTACGCCACGCCACGCCATGCTGTGACATACTACGCTTTGCGGTGCTCTTCTACGCCATGCCATGCCGTGCTCTACAATGCATCGCGCACCCTTTCGGGATCATTGCCCCGCTCGACATCCGACTGTGCGAATAGAGAGGGATCTGCGCCACGGTAAGGGATGGGAGGGAGGGGTAGGATGTCAGATATGACGCGAGCGCACCTAGTTTGCCTCCCCACCCCTCCCCCTCCTCCCTCCTCCTCCCTTCTTCTCTTCCCCCTCCTCCTCCTCCTCCTCCTCCTCCTCCTCCTCCTCCTTCTCCTTCCCGTCTTCCATCCCCAGATTCCCCTCCTCGTTCCCCCTCCTCCTTCCGCACCTCCATTCCGTCCTTCCCCTTCCATCGCTGCTTCCTCCTCGCCTCCTGCTCCCGCCCCCTCTCCCCCTTTTCTCGGGGAAGGGGAGGAGGAGGAGGAGGAGGAGGAGGAGGAGGAGGAGGAGGAGGAGGAGGAGCAGAAGGAGGAGGGAGGAGCGAAGAGGATGGCAGGATAAACAGGAGGAGAAGGAATGAGCAGGGTGACGAGAGCGAGGAGTAGGAAGAGGGCGAGAGGAGGAGGAGGAGGAGGAGGAGGAGGAGGAGGAGAAGGAGAGGGCACGAGTGAGGATATGATGATGATATGATGATGATGATGATGATGATGATGATGATGATGATGATGATGATGATGATGATGATGATGATGATGATGATGATGATGATGATGATGATGAGGAGGAGGAGGAGGAGGAGGAGGAGGAGGAGGAGGAGGAGGAGGAGGAGATGCGGAGGAGGAGGAGGAGGAGGAGGAGGAGGGCACGAGTGAGGATAATGCTGATAATGATGATGCTGATGATGATGATGATGATGATGATGATGATGAGGAGGAGGAGGAGGAGGATGCCACCCCCCCCGCGTCTCTCCTTACTCGCGCGGCGCCCCTCGCCCGCCTGCCGCCCACTTTGTGTGGCTCGGAAGCAACGCGAACATATCACATTATCCGCACCACCAAATGGTGGCCAACGCAGCGTAGGACCATGGCGCTGGCACCCATCTTGGTCGTGGCGCCGGCCCCAGAAGACAGCCGCGAGCACCGAGGCGTCGAGCCCCGAGGCCTCGGAGGCTCCCGCGGACCTCCCGGAGGCCCTGCCGGAGACCCCCCACCTTGTGGTGGCCCGCGTGGCCACGGCCGGACGCAGCTCGAAGAGCTGGCCGGGCTGGGTCCCAAGGAGGGGCCCAGGGGATCGCAGGCCTGCAGGAGCAGCACGGCGGCGGCATAGACCTCATACCTCGCGGCGTCCGCCTCGGGCGACAGCCAAGCACCGAACAAGTGTCAGCCACGCGCGGAGGGGGGCAGGGGGAGGGGGGACCGATTCTTAGAAGCACCCCTGCTTCTTAGGAGGCACGGGCTTGGTCTGTAGATGTAGGGCCGGCGCCTTCTAAGAAGCAACCTCCTTCTGAGAAGCCTTCCCCTCTCCCCCTACCCCCCTGTGCGCGCCGCCACATTCAGGATCCAGAATTTGGGGCGGTTTTGTCTTCTGCTCTGTGGGTGTGCTTTGCCTCCAGAGGCTTCCACGGACCCTCGCAGACCTCCGGAGACCTCCACCTGTGGTGACCGACGGCGCTGGCACCGATCTTATTCGGGGTGCCCGCCTCGGAAGACAGCCGGGCATCGAGGGGTCGATGATCGTGGTTGTTGGGAGCTGGGGCCTTTTCGGGGGCCTACGGACGTGGCAGTGTTCGGATGATTTACGCTTCGTGCATCCCCATCAGCCCATGCAGAAAGCCTGCCCATGAGATCTGACGGGCAACCCAGATGAACAGAGAGATCTCTGGAAGCAAGTGGGGGCCTTGGAGGGCCTCTTTGGGCCATCCCTCGGGCCCGCGGGAGGGCGAGGGGAGGAGGAGGAGGAGGAGGAGGAGGAGGAGGAGGACGAGGAGGAGCAGGAGGAGGAGGAGGAGGAAGAGAAGGAGAACAGGAGGAGGAGGAGGAGGAGGAGGAAGGAGAGGAGGAGAGAGGAGGAGGAGGAGGAGAGGAGGAGGAGGGAGGAGGAGGAGGAGGGGAGGAGGAGGAGGAGGAGGGAGGAGGGAGGAGGAGGAGGAGGAGGAGGAAAGGAGGAGGAGGGAGGAGGAGGCGAGGAGGAGGGAGGAGGAGGAGCAGGAGGAGGAGCAGGAGGAGGAGCAGGAGGAGGAGCAGGAGGAGGAGCAGGAGGAGGAGGTAAACCGCCTCGTGGGCCCTCGTGGGACGCTCTTGGGGCGCTCTTGGGCGCTCTTGGGGCCGTCTTGGGACCCTCTTGGGGCCCTCCTGCGGCTCTCTTGGGGCCCTCTTGTGGGACCTGGAACGCTTCCTGGGGCCATCTTGAAGGTCATCGATCAAAAGAGGGAGGTCCTCGATTTGCCTCCCCCCTCTGGGGCCTTCAAAATCGCCTCTTGGGGCCCTCTTGGAGCGCTATTGGGCGCTCTTGGGGCCGTCTGGGGGGTCTCTTGGGCCCCTCGCGGGGCTCTGGGCCATCTTGGGGCAATCTTGAGGCCTCAAAAGCGCATCGAAAGCGAAAAGGCGAGAAGGCACAAATCGTTGAGTTCCGCAGGTTGTTGAAGGAATTTGGCCTCTTGGGGGGTCTTTAAGATGCAACGGAAGCTGTTTCAAGGAGCCATATTCGGCTATCTTGAACCATCCTGGAAGCCATCTTGGAGCATCGGAGGCCCTCTTGGAGCCATATTGGATAATCTTGGGCGCCCTGACCGCTTGCGGCCCCCCCAACAAGGGAGAGGAGGCGGAGGGCACCCTCCCCGAAGGGAAGAGGTGCTTTGGAAGAGGGAGAAAGATCTCATTCGACCATTCGCGGCCATGCCCTATCCCTCGTCGTCGTCGTGATTCTCATCCCGCCTTTCATATTCCTCTGACGTTGTCTTATTTTCCGGCCCGTCCTCTTGGCCTCATTGCTCTGTCACGTCTGATGTTTTCGGGCTTACGTTTTCCTGTGCTTTGTTTAAGTGTTTTGGGTCGTTGTCGCGTGACTGGGATTCCGCTGTTTGGTTTCTGTTGTTTGGTTGTCGTTGTTTCTGTGTTGGTTGCGCACGTTGTCCGCTTCAGTTGTGCAATGTGTGTTTCGATATTCGTTGTGTTCGTGTCCGTTTTCTGCTTCCGTTTGGTTTCTGGTTTCCGTTTCTACCTCAATGTTCGGCGCTTGAGCTTGTTCAGCCGCCGAACGTGCTTGAGATCGAGCCCGTTCGGCGGGTGGGTTCAGTTCCTAGCATTTTGTGGGCACTAAGCCCAGGGGTTCGGCGACCGAACGGGCTCAGACACCGAACGGGCTCAGAAGGAAGCCCAGAGGCAATTTCCAGTTTATGCTATCGCTTTTTAGCTTGTATGCCCGCTTTCCATTTTCGCGGCCTTGTGCAATATCTTGTCATTGTTGTTATCCGTTTTCCATTTTGGCTTCCCTCATTGCTGCTTATGTGTTCTGGTTCCCGATGTTCGTTTCCCGTTTCTGGTCGTCTCTCTCCTCCTCCGTCCGTTTGCGGATCCGATTTGAGGCAATATAGAGACGATCTGGCATGCGGGGTTCTGTGGCGCAGCGTGCGGCGCGGCCTGTGGCACATGGCACTCAGGATCTCTCGGCGGGGTGGGCGCCCCCCAACATACTTATACTATGTGTTCGTCGCCCCCCCAGGGGCGACGCGCGAACCGAGAAATCTTATAGTATATGCGTCGTGGCGGGCGCTTTCTGGCCACACCGCTCGAGAAACGATATACTACAAGATGGGTATACTATATGTTCGGGTCGGACGCGCGCCTCCAAGGCGGACACATAGTATTAGTATGTCTCTGTGCATCCCATGGGCTTGTATTGGCCATCCACTCCTCCCGTGGCTTGGGCCCTCAGAAGCCCTCGACCCCTGCCCCGGGGCCGCCTCCTCGCCGGGGCCACCGGCAGAACCGGCCGCCACGACTTTTAGCGCTGCCGCCTGGACCCAAAAGGGGCTGGGCGCCCGCAGGTGCGAGCAGTAGCTCCTCCTCCTCCTCCTCCTCCTCCTCCTCCTCCTCCTCCTCCTCCTCCTCCTCCTCCTCCTCCTCCTCCTCCTCCTCCTCCTCCTCCTCCCCTCCTCCTCCCTCCCCCTCCTCTCCCCTCCTCCTCCTCCTCCTCCTCCTCCCCCTCCTCCTCCTCCTCCTCCTTCTCCTCCTCCTCCTCCTCCTCCTCCTCCTCCTCCTCCTCCTCCTGGGGTCGCCCCCAGGGGCGGCGTGAAGACAACGGCGCTTCGCGCGCCGCGGCTCGGACTAGAGGGGCGCCCTTCTCCAGGGCGGCGGCGCGGGGGCGCAAAGATGGCCGCGCATCGCGGGGCGCGCTGCTCGAAGTTAAGCGACCTCAACTGGAGAAACCAAAAGGTACCAATACCGCTGCTCCCGGGACCTCTCCCGGGGACCAGGATTCGGAGGCGAATCCAGCGGTGGCGACGACGGCCTCCTAGGAGGCCCTAGAAGGCGAAAACGAGGGAAGGGTAACGGCATCGATTTGGGCATTTTCCTGTTCCGATCGACCACAGTTCGATCGCCCACGCTTTTAAGGTGTCAGCCCTGCTCGCGAGCCCCGTCCGCAGCTCCCGCCTGCGGCAGGGCGCGGTGCACCAGCACGCAGGAAACGCGCGGGTGAGCAAGGCGATCGATGCGCTGGAGGCCTCCAGGTGGGGAAAGAGACCCTCAAGCCGGGGCGTCGCGAGAGCAGCAAGATCGCGACGGCCGGCCTTCCAGTCGGCCTCCATGGGCCGATTCTCCCAGCCCCGGGACCGTCAGGAACGGCTGGGGATGGGAGTTCTCGGACGGGGCTAGGACGAAGATAAATCCGTTCCAGAGCGTTCCGGAACGCTCTGAGAAGGCCGCGGCGCCCGAGACATCCTCCAGAGACGCCGGATCTGAGAGATTCTCGATTTATCCTCACTCGATTTGATTCTCGTCCTGGCTTCGTCTTATGCCCGGCTCTGTGAAGAGATTGCTCCAGGACTGAGATGTTTTTTCATTGTAGTTTCAGTGTCTGGCGGCTTGTTTCGGAGCGCAGGACCGTCCAGGATCGATGCGGGAGGAAAGTCCGAGAACCGATCTTGAGCGGATGTAGGGGTGCTGGTGGGCAAGCTGATGCTGATGTCGTTCCCTCGTTCTCCCTCCCTTCTGGGCCTCCCAGGGGGGCCTTTGTCGCCACGGCTGGATTCGGCTTGTGAGCTCTGGTCAGAGCGCACCCAGGAGAGGTCTGAGTAGTGGCGCTCCAGCAATGGATGCGCTCGAGGCTCGGACAACAAAAAACGCCATACGCTCGCGTACCTTTTCAAGGATCGAGGTTCGAGGATCCAGGTTGTTCGGCGTTTGGGAGCTTGTTGGACCTCAGGGGGGCTTCTCATCACCACGGCTGGAGGCGCTTCGCAATCCTGGCCAGACCGTGCCCCTTGGAGAGGTCGGGAAGGCGATGTGTAGCACTCGTATCGCATGAACGAGTTTTCGGAGCTCTGCTAGGATTTCTTGGGTCTGCGCTGGACCCCCCTCCCCGCCCCCCCTGGCGGCACCTCTGGCGCCGCCCGCAGCACGCTACGCGCGCCGAGGAAGGCGTGCTGTAGTGGGGTCCAGTGCCGACTTACGGAATACGCGCATACCTCCGACAGATCATGTTTATGCCATTTATTTGTCTTCTAAGAGGCCGAGCACAATGAGCTCGAAGCAATCAAGTCGTCAAACGATCCGATCACCCAAATCAAGAAGGCCGTCGAGGAGCAGGGTAGCTTCGGCGGCACGACGGAGGAGCAGAAGCAGAAACCGATGATGACACCGATCAACAAGATGCGGGCGCAGCTGTGCTGGTCGCGGCCGGACATCTGGAACCACAGGGAGTGCCTGCTCTTCTTGGGCCTCCGCTGCAAGAAAGAGCAAACCGGCATGAATATTTGCTCCCGATTTCTGGAACGCGCGCCCAGCGAGTGCGGCAACCCTAGCGCGGCCGATGAGTTGCCCAAAGGGCTGAAGTCTTTCTGCAAGGTCGCCTGGAAGATCAAGCTTATCGCACCAATCACGCAATCCACGACCACGACAGTCACGACCACGACAGTCACGACCACGACAGTCACGACCACGACTGTCACCACCACGACTGTCACGACCACCACGACTGTCACGACAACTACCAGGACCACAACGACTATCTAGAAGAACAAACATCTGCGTGAACATAAACTTTTGAGGTCCGCGCGAATTTCTTGGGTCGGAAGCGGACCCCCCTCCTCTCTCGCGCGACGCGTGCCAGGGGGGGGCGTTGGAGGCTCCACCAGAGGGGATGTCCAGCATCGACCCACAGAAGCCGCGGGGACCTCCGAAAGTTCATGTCTGCGCCGCTTCTTGCTCTTCGCAACATCACGACGACGACCACCGCCACGACCACCACCACCACGGTCACGACCGCCGCCACGACCACGAGCGAGGCGTCGCCGTCGCCGCAGGAGCGGGGGGCGCCTCCCCCCTCTGCGCCCGCCGATCGCGGGCCGGCAGAGCACGCGGATCGCCTTGCCGCTGCTGGCGGCGCGCACGAGCTGGGCCCACTTCGATCCGGTCGCTTCAGTTCGATACCGATTCTGGTGGGCCTGGTCCGGAAAAGCATTCCCACGGTCCGATGCGGCCCACTGTCTGCGCGAGGTTGCTGTGCATCCTGGCGGCGCAGCCGATCCGATTCGATTTCGGCTCCGTGCCGATGCAGCCCGACACGGCGCACGCGTCGATTCGGTTCGATTTCCCGTTTCGGTGTTGACCAGTCCTGCCACGAGAGGGTACGGCAGGTTCGCGCCGCGTCGATGCGGCAGCGACGCCTGCACGGGCGCTCAAGACTGAAGGCCGCCAGTTGCCTGAGCCAGGCCGAGCCTGAGCGGTCCGAGCTCTCGGACAGCAAGACTGGACGGTCTGTGCGGTGTCAGGAAACCAGCGTCCGCGTCGATACGACAGGAACCAGCCTAGGGTCGAGTGGGGCGGTGTTGTGACTGAGAAGGCTCCCAGCCCCTCAGGAGCCCTCCCGCCTTCAGGGGAGCCTTCTCAGAAGCCTTTCAGGAGTGCTGGTCTCTTTTAAGAACCTACCCGAATCTTCGAAGCGAAGGCCGAGGAAACAAGCTACAGAAAGGATGTCGTAGGCCCGCGCGGATTTCTTGGATGTCAGCCAGCGTGGGCCCCAAACAGTGATTTCTAGCAGTCTGTGCGGTGCAATCTGGGTGGTGCAATCAAAAAGCAAGTGGTGCAATCTGCGTGGGGCACAGCAATGCAACGCAAAGCGAAGCAAATCAACGCAAAGCAAAGCAAAACAGCGCAATGCAAAGCAATACGAAGCAGTGCACTGCAAAGCGATGCGTACGAGGCGGCGACGGCGGCGACGTGGCGGCCAGAGCGGCCCGCAGGCTCAGTTCATTAGAAGAGCAATAGGAATCCCTAAGTGCAAGCACTGTTTGGGGGATCAACTCAAGGCTTTGGGGTCCCACGCTGATTTTTCATGGTGGCGTTGAACCCCCCCGGTAGCGCTTCCAGCGCAGTCCTTGGTGAGCTTCGCGCGCCAGGACAAAAGGGGGCCAGCGCTGTTTCCCCAAGCAGTGCTTGCACTTAGGGATTCTTATTTCTCTTCTAAGAAACTGGGCCTGCGAGCCGCTCTGGCCGCCTTGTCGCCGCCTCCTCGCCGCCCGTCGCCGCCGTTCGCCTGGGCCTGCGGGCCGCTCTGGCCGCCATGTCGCCGCCTCGTCCCAGCCCGCCGCCTCGTCGCCGCCCGATTTGCATCGCTTTGCATTGCATTGCATTGCGTCGCATTGGTTCACATTACGTTGCATTGCGTTGCGCTGCTTTGCGTTGGATTGCGTTGCATTGCTTTGCCGTGCTCTGCTATGCTCCGCATTAATGGATTGATTGCACCATTCGGATTGCACCACCTAGATTGCAGCACGTTGATGTAACAACCTAAGTTGCACCGCGCAGATTGCAAAGCATCGCAGTTTGGGGTCCACGCTTGCTAGCATGTCGATGTGTGTCTTCTTCCTTTCCTTCTGTATTGGCGGCGCCCCCTGGCCGCGCCACTTGTGCGCGGCGCCAGCGCCTGTCGCGGCGTTCGATAGGACGGCGATACTGATCTCAGTCGCGGGGGCAATCACGCCTCGTACCTCGCGGGCTGGGCCGGAGCGCCGCCCTTTCTCCAGGGCGGCGGCCAGGGACCGCGGGTGCGGAGCACGCGAAGTTGTGACCTGGAGGCAGGGAAGCTGACACGCTTGGTCAACCCCAGCTTCTCTCGTGTCCGGCGCGGATTTTTCGAAGTGGAGCGACGAAGTCAGGCAGTACGTTCTGACCGAGGTATCGAGGTCTGTTCGGGGAGGGAACCCCAATGTTCTTCGTATGTATTGGATGCTTTTGTGCACCTTGGGGAGGGCGCCCTCGAATGATCTTATGCTTTGGGGTGTTCTGGACAGCTGAGGTCTCATGTTGTTGAAACATGTTATTATGTCCTAGGTCCGATCGTACACAGGGCGCCATGCGGGGAGACCATCTTAAAACCGCCCTGCGGGTCAAAACAACATGATAAAGCAATCGAAGCACATGTAGCAGAAGCACTATCTGTGACAAACCATGGAGAGCCATTGCAAGCGCAACAAGAAACATATGAAAACAACGAGCGGCAGCAAAACGTACACACTTATGTTAGCCAGCGTTGACCCCAAACGGTGCGTTTCTAGTACATTCTCTTGTGCAATCCATGTGGTGCAGTTTACGTGGTGCACTTGATGTGTACAAGCGGGTTGACACATTCCATGTTGTTGACACAGTCCATGTGCTTGCAAACATACCACACACCCACCGAAAACTTGGTTTGCAAAATCCATGCGGCGGCGATTGCAATGAGTGCTTGGCGCTGGCTTGTGCATCTCTGCGGCCGCGCCAGCCCGCGCATGCACGCGCGCGCAGCGGTCAGCTAGTCTGGCGTGACCGACGCGGCCGCGGTGGCGCTGACCTCTGGGCACATCCCAGCGGGCACTTCAGTGCGAGTCGGCGACTTGGGTGGGCGCGGTATCATGGCAACGTCGACAACGGTAGACACGATGATGATATCAACGATGTTGGTGGCGACGTTTGACAGCGACGACGGCACTACCAGTGACGGCGCCGATGCGCCGATGCGCCGATGCTGATTCCGCCGACGACGATGACGATGTCTTCGCGTCAGTGATGAAGGTTTTGGAAAGAGTTCTACATGCGCGCGCGGCCGATGCGCGCGAGTGGCCCGCGTGAGATTCTTTGACGCGGATCGTGCCCCCCCCCCAGCACGCGCGCAAGGGCGTTCGAATGATTTCGGCATGCGGCGCGAGAGGCTCGTTTGGCAGAATCCCATGAGCATGTTGAACAACAAAAAACAACCCACTGGTTTTCTTGAGGATTTGCGAGAACGCGAGCGCAAGATTTTTCTGTTAAGCTGATGTTGCGAAACTTGTTGTAGTCTCGGGGCACTCGTGTTTGACATCCTTGCAACACTTCAGCTTTTTGAAAGATGTCGGCGTGCGCTCGCGACGACGCGCGCGCGCGCACTTCGTCTCGTTGTTTGCAATGGATTATTGCGACAGCGCGCGCAAGGGCGCTCGAACGATGTAGGCATGCGCGCGCGAAGCTCGTTTGGTAGCATGTTATGATACTGTTTAAGTTCCTATGGTTTTCTTGAGAATTCGCAAGGGCGCGCGTCCAAGTTGTTCTTTTGTTTGGAAGCCCGTGCTGCCAAACCATATGTTTCTATATGCTTTCGAGCATCCGATTAAATCCTCACGAAACCTTGTTTTTTTGTAGGTCGACAGATTTCGGCGTGCACGCGCGACGAAACGCACGCGTGCACTTCGTTTCATTCGTTGCAGAAGATGTTGAACATATATGGTTTTCGATAAACGACTGCGCGCGCATAGTTTTTTTTCGCAAAAGGGTGACGGAGGGCGTCGATACCGGCCTGCCTTGGATGGTATGAGTTCATGTTTCGAATGGGTGATGGGGCAGAATCTTATGAAACTGGCAATGCGAAAGGGTGAGCCGTTAACCCCCCCGGTTTCGGGAGGGTGGTGGATCCGATTCTGTTCGCCCTGCCGAAGATGAAATTGCCAACTCCACTGCCCCCGCGACCGCCCCACCTCCCCACCCGCAACTTGGTCTGCAAAAAACCGCGCTAGCGCGCGCAGGCTCGCGCGCAGAGCGGCCAGCTCGCCTGGCGCGACCGACGCGGTCGCAGCGGCGCCGACCTCCGAGGACTTCCCGGCGCGTCTCGCAGGCCGCGCTGACGCGCGGGCACTTCAGCGCGAGCTGGTGACTCCAGCGGGCGCGGCATCGCGGCGACGTCGACACAGGCAGACGCGACGATGATTGTAGCAACGCGAGTGACGATGATTGTAGCAACGCGAGCAACGGCGGCAGGGCGAATGACGGCGCCGATGTTGACCGCGCCGATGACGACGATGGCGCCCGCGCGTCGGCAACGGCGGTTTTGGCTGGATGTCGACGCGCGCGCGCGCGGCCGACGGGCGCGAGCGGTCCGCGCATTTGATAAAGGGGTCGTGGCCCCGCCCACGGCGCGCGCGCGCGAGGGCGTTCGGATGATTTCGACCCGCGCGCGCGAGAGGCCCATTTGGTCGCATTTGATGAACGCGTCGAAACAACGACGGTTTCTTTAAGATCCCGCAGAAGAGCGCAGATTGTTGCGAATAAGCTCTGTTTGCAAAACTATGTTTCTTCGGTCTCGGAACATTCGATTTTGATTTTGCAATCCATGCTAAGCCAGCGGTTTCTTGACGGACTCTGGCGCGCGCGCGAGGGCGCGCTCGCGCTGCGTCCGTTTAGTTGCGGAGGGATTTCTGCCGAGCGTTGATGTTTGATTCGACCGCGCGCGTGTGTATTTTTCCAATGAGATAGCAGGGTCAGTCGACGCCTGTCTGGTTGGGATGATGCGACCTTGAATTCAGAATGAGAGATGGGGCGGAGACTTGAATGCGCAGCACCTCCCCTGGGCGAACGAAGAA